CGAGCATGTTTGGTGGAATGGGGATTCGAACCCGCGACCCTCAGATTGCGAATCGAGCGCCTTATCCACCTGGCCATGCCGGGCAGCTATTAGCAACCCGTAAATAAACAAAATATATGATCGTTAAGCATGTCTACTTAGACGCCACGGCTCGTACTTACGACAAAACACTCCTACATTAGCAAATAAAAATCGCTTAAATTAATTGCAATGAACTTTCTGTATGCTCTTACAAACAACCACACACAAAGTACATATCTGTCAAAGTGACGTCCTGTTTATAATAAACTTGTGACGTAGGTAGTTACATACACACCACCCACATAAACATATTCAATGTAAGTCAAATATGAGAGAAAACTGTAATATGTACAGAGGCGTTCATATAAAAATACTTAGATGTGTAGGGTAATATATATATATATCAACCAAACGCCAACTTCACCTTCTGTGTGTATTATGAAAGAGTTTGTTTCTACTTTAAAGTTTGTCTTCACATTCCATTTCATCTGTCTATGTAGGCAACTTTGCCATTTACCAAAACTCTTGTTAGTTAAGAAGTTTTTGTTCATATAAGTGTGGACCTGAATTACGGAGAGAATTAGCGATTTGAGTATATTATTTATCAACAGATGGCAGTGCAAACAATTTTCTCAATATTTCGGACTTATTGGTATTTATTTATATCACAAAGTAGTTCTTAGGCCCGAAACGCTGAAATTAATCACTAATTTTATCAAATCTTGTTGAACCTTTTTCATTACCACTTGTTAACTATCCTCATCATTTTATTTGCATCCCTGTATGATTATTACGCTTTCTTAAACTATTGATCACGTTACCAGCAAGAAAGTTTAAAAGCATTTCTAAATTTTGTTCACACATTTGATGTATATAGTGCCAACTTTTGTGATTAAAAGTGATGACAATATTCTTCTACATAGCATATCAACTCTTAACATAGCTATGAGGTCTATGGGCCGTAGATAAGTATAATTTTTTATTATGTTTTCAAATGTATTATTTCTTCCAGAGACCCAAAAGAAGATGCTGTCTACATCCAAACTGACTTCTACCAATAATAAACTTCAGATTCTTCTGTTGTCTTACGCACGGAGTGGGTCTTCGTTTCTGGGAGACTTATTACAGAGTTATTCCAAGGTCTTTTACATATTTGAACCTCTTCATTATTTTAGAAACAAAATGACTCACCTCCACACAAAAAACTCAAGTCAATTTCTATACGACCTTTTTAATTGCAACTTTTCGGAATGGCGTTCTTTTCTAAGTTGGACAAGAAGGTATAAGCAATACAAAAATCTCGAACGTAATAGGCGATTTTGGTCTGCTTGTTCGGTTGGAAGAAACACAAATAGGTGTTATAATTTTCGGTTCGTTACTTCTTTCTGTAAAATGCATTCAATGCAAGTCATTAAAGTGATAAGGGTTTCTTTAACACAGGTTGGATGGATGCTCCAAACGAGCCCAGATATGAACTTAAAAGTAATCCACCTCATCAGAGATCCTCGAGGAACAATGAAGTCGCGGTTAATGGAGGAAGTAATTGCTTTTTGGTGCAAAAAGTCGTTATGTTCTAATCCTATGTCACTGTGTACTCAAATCAATGATGATCTTAATTATGCTTGTAAAATGGGATCGATGTTTTCTGAAAAATACAAACTTCTGCGGTATGAGGACCTTGCTCGAAAACCCCTTGAGACAGCTCAAGACTTATTTAAGTTTTTAGGCCTAAATACTCTACCCAAGGAGGTTATTGACTTTGTGGAGACACACACCAAGGGAACCAAGTCGATTAAAAAACAGAAACAAACGGAGGAGTGGGCATATTCTACGTTCAGAAATTCTTCTGAAACTGCGTTTTCGTGGGTAAAGCAACTTCCCTTTAGAACAGTCTTAAGCATCCAGTCTATGTGTAAAAGTGTTTTAGACCGTATGAGCTATGTAGCTCTAAGTTCTCCCGCTCAATCCAAAAACCCTCAACTTTTAGCAGACATGTTTAACAAATCAAATGTATGCTAATCAGCAGTAGGCACATTGATGAATGAGATTACTGTGCTTTTATTTGAATAATTATTATTTCTTATGCTTGTTTATATACTTTTATTAAGAGTAATGAATATCATGCTTAGCCCATAGTACTATATAAATAACCAATAGTGTGATCTGTTAACTTTAGTTGTTTAGCCGGCATATCAAGTTGTATAACGTTATATATTATTCATATCAGAACCATCCTCTTTACTTATATTAGAATAATAACAAATAACTTTCCAGCTCTTAAATTTCAATCTCCCATAAGCATTTTACTTCAGTAACATTGACTTTTAAAATTATGGGCCTTCTGTATTCAGCTTTGCGGATATCATGAAAAACTACCTTTTCTAAAAAGTGAAATTGCTGAGTAAATGAATTGGGGTTTCAACAATAAGAAAAGTAAGTCAAAACTTTAAAGGAATTCATATTATTAATTTTTTGAATTATTTGATTCTAATGACTTCTAATTTTTTGAAAAAAAAACTAAATTTTAGTTCCACTTCCTTTTAAATTTAATTTCCAGTATCATCAACGTACAATAATCCACAAACTCAACAATGTGTACAATATAAAACTTTAATCTACGTAACAAATACCCGTCTCACTAGATCCTTTTTATCATCCTCGGTATCATTTATCACATTTTTTTTTTTTTCTGAAAGGAAAAACAAACCCTTTCATTCTATTTACATTCTCTAATAGAAGTTAATTTTTTCGTTGTATCCCTATCATGGCATAGTTATGGTTGAGATCCTGTTACGGTGTGAACTGGATTATGTTGATGAAGTGTAATTTTTCCTCAATCTTATATATGTTTAAATATAGTAATGATTTTCTCACCATACATTATTTATTTGTTTTAACACGCCATATGTTATTCATTATTATTTTCTTCAACTGGATTACTCGCATTCATAAGACCTGGCGAACCAGGAAACTAACTTTCCAGATCCCGGGAAGGTCATATGACCACAGCAACAACGAGAGACGATTAGATTAGTAATCTAATCTATATAAAAGCCAGCGTGTGTCACGTCACGCTCGATTTCTCGAAATAGGAGGAGTCGTAAAAACCAAAATGCATTTATCCAGATAGTATAGTTTTATTACTGTCTGCCCATTGCGATTTTAGTGACGGGGGTGAAAGAGGGCTATGAGGGTAGTGTGTATGAAACATTATAAGTGTAGTGAGTGTTACTATAATAAGCCTGAAGACGTAGTGTGGGATCACCTAGCCTAGAGTGCATTAAGTTTATCATGAAAGTAAAAATATCGATTCAATTTTATACTTAAATCGTTTCTGAATTAAGCTGTTTTCTGATATATCACCAACGTTTTAAATAAAGAACAAACCTCTTTAATCAACGGAGACTCTAAATTAAAAAATCAACAAATATTTTTCCAGTTTTGTTGTCTATACATTTCATTTTATACTTTCCGTACATAAAATAACAACAATATTAGGTTATAATTTTGTTGCTATGCAACATGACATAAAAGCCATTGTTGGAACGTAATGTTACCAAAACGCACTGGCTTTTCTCTATATTAGAAGTTGTTAATCAAACTGATTTTTACCAGTAATTATTCTATGAATACACCACGAATTCATTGCCTCACAAAAGAATTTACCGAAGTTGACTGCCTCGACTGCACTTTTCCGCCTCAAGCTGGATTTCGTAAAATATATTTATTTCAGTTAGCTTTGGGCCCGGCATGGCCGGGTGGTTAGGGAGCTCGACTCGTAATCTGAGGTTTGAATCTCCGTCACACCAAATATGCTCGCCCTTTCAGCCGTGGGGGCGTTATAATGTGACGGTCAATCCCACTATTCG